GCTATCCCCCTGGGTAGAGTGCCATGGCATCACGCTCACAGCAACCTCCAACTCCTGGGCCCAAGCGAGTCTCCTGCCTCAGCCTCCCAAGTAGCTGGGACCACAGGCACCCGCCACAGTGCCCGGTCATCTTTTGGTTGCAGCCATCATTGTTGTCTGGCGGGCCCGGGCTGGGGATTTGAACCCGCCACCTTGGGTGTACGTGGCTGACGCCTTAGCCGCTTGAGCCACAGGCGCCGAGCCCTTACGTAGTATTTTCAAGACACTCATACAAGCTGATTTCTGAGTAGAGCAACAGGAGAAATGGTTGCAGGACCTGGGAATATTCATTATGCTAGAAAATAAAACATGATTACTGTTTTCAAATATCTGAAGTTCTTTCTCCTGTCCTAGCATTGAGTACTACCAATTCTCCACAGAATTCTGAAGCAACACATTTCATCAGGGATCCTGAGTTTCATAATCCTCAGCCTCAGGATACCAATATACTCTCTGAAATACAAAAATAGCAAAATTTTTGTGGGACAAGAAATATGTCCACTTTTCCCAGGAAAGATGGTTGTAGTTTCCACAGTAATTTCAAAAAGCTGTTGATTCCAATAGGAATGTAGTTCCTTCATATCAAAATGTACAGAAATGACTTATGCTGGAACTCATGGTCTTTTCCCTCAGTGGTAGGTCAGAGCCCCCAAATTCAGCCATTCTATCCTAAAACTCTCTATCAAAAAGACCCAAACTGAAGTCTGACCATTTCAAAATAGGAAAGGGCAAGGCACCCCTCAAAAAGTCAGAATCTGAGCCCTTGATCAGGACCAGGTATGTAATCCATGTAGGCCAATGCAAAAATCTTCAAGATGCAGAGCAAAACCTTCAGCTTTCTAACAAGTAGAGAAGCATGGAAAAGAAAAGGAGTTATAAGTTGTCCTTGGCTCAGCGCCTGTGGCTCAAGTGGCTAAGGTGCCAGCCACGTACACCCAAGGTGGCAGGTTCAAATCCAGCCCAGGCCCACCAAACAACAATGACAGCTGCAACCAAAAAAATAGCTGGGCGTTGTGGTGGGCGCCTGTGGTCCCAGCTACTTGGGAGGCTGAGGCAGGAGACTCGCTTGAGCCCAGGAGTTGGAGGTTGCTGTGAGCTGTGATGCCATGGCACTCTACCCAGGGGGACAGCTTGAGGCTCCTGTCTCCAAAAATAATAATAATAATAAGTTGTCCTATATTACCTTTTCCTTCTAGGTCAACATTTTTAGTGTAAGTGGTTGGAAAATACAATAAGACTTTTCAATTGTTCGTTGTCCTTCCTTGTTCAAAACAAGTTCTGGTTTGAATGCAAAAAATGGTCTCTCAGGGCTGTCAGCTCTCCTGAATACCCAGATGCAGAGGTGTTGATATGGAGCACGAGCACAGAATTCCAGTGGACTCACGATGCATGAAAGGTCAGTCAGATTCAAAATGACTACCTAAGTTCAAAGACGAAATTAAGAATTTTAAGATGACAGCAAAGTATTTAAACCAAGTTGAGCATAGGTCAATATATGCTTACGAAGCTGGCACTTGTCTCTGCGCTCACATTTCTCTTCATACTTTCTGTACTCAAACAACGAATAACCTCCCTGCTCATTTCTTCTTGATGTTTCTGTAAACATAAGCCACACTGCCTAGTGATTGTAAACTGAAAACTAACAGAGTTGATCTGGTAAATTTGAAGAATAAGGGAGTTGTTGGCTAGAGAAGGATGTTCCACCTTCTTCCACTCATACCAGGAAGGCTCCTAGACTGAAGTAAAGATGTAAATAACAGTTACCTTTAAAAAGAAAAAAAAAATCTGCATAAGGAATGTCTAGATTCAAAGCAACAGTTTTCATTCACTCTTTCCTTTATTGTCTCTTTATTTGACCATTTCAAACTGTGAATGAGATGCTGACAATTTAACTGTGAACAGTTAAAGCAGATATAGTTCCTGCCCTCGTGTAAATAAAATAGACAGGCAATGACAGACAAGTCAAAAGTCACAAGGAATATCACGGGGAAAGAATGGGGCACTAAGAAAAGGGTAAAGCAGATTACTACGTGACTTTGGGGACAAATAAGTCTTTCTTGAAAAATGCATCTCTACAATGATCCCTTCATGTTGAATAAGAGCAAGTCAGGCCCAAGGAAAGGAAAGAAAGGCTGTTCTTGTCAGAAACATGGGCAAAAGTGGCAAGACGAATTTCAAGGACAAGAAAGAAAATTCACAAGAGCTAGAACCAGGAACCATTGGGCTCTTTGAGAATCAAACATCTTACGGAGCCGCTGTAGAGTTTCATATTTGCTTTGTAAAAATATTACTCTGAAAATGAACAGAGGCAGTGGAGTCCACAGAGTAGATACAGTAGAAGGTTGGATTGGGGCTGGGGGAGGAAGTGGGTGGGTATGAGAGACTCTTAGAAGGTAGAGTTGGCAGTACTGTGTGACTGAATGCGAGAAAGGTTAAGGGAAGTTAATCACTAAGGATGAATGCTCAGGATTCTTGGTCTATAACAGGATGGATGCTAGTGCCATTTCCTGTGAAGAGTTAAAGACACAGGTATCCCGGCCAAGATTAAGAACATGGAACTGAACTTTTCCTGTATCTGTGGTTTATGTAATAATATCTCTTTACTCCAAAGTTAGTTTTCCGTCGCTCCCCCCTCCCCCCGTTTTGGTTCAATGTCCCTAAAAGCTGCCTCCATATACTAAGCTGACTAACAGCTTGAGCAGGCCACCAATCAAGATTCTTCTCACAAGAGGGAGCCCTTGAGCACGACCGGGGAGAAGGGAAGCTATCAAACTAAAGAAACAGGAAGCTTTGAACGAGGTAACATACCCCGCCTTAAAGGTTTCGAAGTCACTCCACCCAAAAAAGTCCTGCGACTCAGCAGAAAAGGCCTAGCCTGGCAGGTTTTGCGAGGTTGGACCTCTGGTTCCGCCTCCAAGGAGAGGCTGGAACGCGGTAAGTGCCCGGATGTGCACGCCCGGAAAGCGCGGGTGTTCCGACGGAGCCTGGCGGGGTGGGACTCTGCTTACGTCGGCGGCGGTGGCAGCGCCGTCGCATCACGTGACCGCGTCTCGCTAGCCAATGGGTGAGCGCGGCGGAAAATTTCGAACATAGTCGTTGTTGAGAGCAACAGGAGATAGTGCTATAGACCCGGGCGCGGGGCTGGCACCTGGTGGGCGACCCTCTCCGAGCTTTGGAAGGCAAGGAGGAGGGCGGCTGCTGATGCAGCAGCAGAAGCAGTGGCCAAGGTATCGTTCTGGGCGCGCCTGCAGGAGTAGCCAGGACCACTTCCGGCAAGAAGCAGGGGAAGCCGTGCGTTTTACAGGTGTGGAACAAGGGCGTAGTGATCTCTCTCTTTGACTTCTGTCGGGTTCTCAGTGTCATTCTAAGTTCGGTGGCCAATAGCTCCTGCTGCGGAGTCAAACTGACCAGGTGCTTTCCTCCGCTCATTCACTCGTTCTGCGATAGTGTTTCCGGATGTTCCTGTTTGCTCTTGTCGAGTGGTGACCCGAACCTCCTACCTTGCGTAACTGTGTAGATTAAGTGATGTGCAAATAAAGTTTTTACGCTCGTAAAAAGCGAGGTTCCACGTAAAGACACACAAAAAGATGGGTAACTATTGTTTACGCAGCGAAATACCCTTAACGTCCCTTTCTTGTCCAGGCCTGTCGCTTCCTCAGTTACCCTGGAGATAGCAGCAGTGGCTGCCTCCGCAGCAAGATTAAATAAAGAATTAGGGGCGGAGGTCAAATATTTTAAATTCTTGAGTTCAGAGCCCTTGCAAGAATACTACTGTAACCATTGAGATTCTTAATCTGGCACCACTGGCCTTTCTCAGCTTTCATTCGTTCTCTGTAAACACCCCTCTTAATACCATTGCACTAGACAGAAAATAAAACTTATGCGACAAATTGCTTTTGTGGTTTTAACTTGATTAAATTTAAGAATGAAAGTTTTTTAGTTAAGGCTTTGCAAAAGTAGACTAGATTAGCTACTTAATCTATATGGCTCTCAAACATCTCCGGTTCTAATGTAAAAACTTCATTGTGGTAGGTTGTTTTATACAACCCACCTGCCATTAGTGTTAATAGTTGCTGTTGCTCTACTGGGTATCTCCCAGTATTATTTGATATCTTACGTTGGTAGAAAGAAAATATTTGAATGGGATATACATTATCTATATTTAAGACTCCATACAATAAAAACAGGAAAATGAGACTTGGAGAAAATACTCAAGAAAATGTTACGCTTAGGAAAATATTTTACTAACTTAGAGGAGATGAAGCTATGCTTTATGATGAAAATTGTATACCTAGATTATCATAGGAAACAAGTTTTTGGGGGGTATTTTGCAATATTAAGATCCACAAAGTACAATCTAGGGTAAAAGATATTCACAAAAAGTAGTTAGACATGTCTGGTAGTATGCTGAAGCGTATCTGATTTGCAGCACTGAACCATTAAGTGTTCTTATGTATTGTACACTCAATAGCATATTCCTCTGTCAGTGCATGTTTTACTACCTTTTTTTTTTGAGGCAGTCTCTTGCTCTTTGATTCAGACCAGATTGTAGTAGCATCTTCATAGCTCACTGCGGACTGAAACTAACTGTATGTAGAACAATCTATTTAAAGTCTTATTTGACGTGGTCATAATTTATAATCCTGAGTTTTAGCAGTAACTTTGACAATACTAGCCTTTTCCTCTTCTCTAATTCCTGCTTATTTCAGCACTATAACAGCCTATTTAAATTGTATGTAGTGCTACATAGTTTAAACCTCTGAGGATCACCTTGACTTTTCTTAAGAGTGTGTGACTATCTTAAGTGCTACTGGGATAAAAGAATGTGGAAAAGTAACTGACCTAATCTGATAAATTAATAATTAGAGAGGAGCTGGAAAACAAAGTAAAGGTGTATGATTACTGCCGAACTAATGTTGTAAGTTTAAGCACTAAAATTGGCCATAAACATTTTCTGTAAGAAACACAAATAATGGCTCGGCGCCTATAGCTCAACCGGCTAAGGCGCCAGCCATGTACACCTAAGGTGGCGGGTTCGAATGCCCAGCCCGGACCCGCCAAACAACAATGACGGCTGCAACCAAAAAATAGCCAGGCGTTGTGGCGGGCGC